GTTCAGACTGACTAATGTCTGCTTTACACCGAGGCAAAGCTGCCTGGTGTGAGCTTTGAAATGATATATAGCTATATAAAACTACATCATAATTAGGGTTTGATTAAATCAGCTAAATAAGTATCGCTATTTTTGTTTGGTTATTGAATTGAACATAACAAATCTAAATGATTTCATTATTAGTGCTTAGAAAACTAAACCGAGAGTATATAATACTTTTTTTAAAAATAAAGTAGAACAAAGACAATACAGTTTTATATAGCTATATATATCATTTCAGTTCTGAATTAATGACATCCATGTTTCATATACCTTAATTATTTTAAAAAATAATAATATGTACGTCTTTTAGGTCTCGATGGATAGTTCAGATGCAAAGGTTTGGAAAGAAAATGGAGGCTCCTTAGAAGATATTGTACAAACAGAAAATTCCAGTGAACCTATGGATGATTCTAGATGGTAGCAAGAAAGCATGAGTACAGAAGTTACCCACGAAGCTCTACCAGTTGACCAGGGCTATAGCATGACACATTATGAAAAGGCCCTATCAACTTCTGGGGTAGATCCGACGGGAGAAAAAGGACTTTCGGACATCATAATCGTACAAAATAAACCCAAAAAATCTATGTCTTCACCGGTTGCCCCAGGAGGTATTGATATTTTTTCTTTGATGGATTAACCTAGAAAAACTGCTAACTACTATTGTATACTTTAATTTAATCCTCTTTTTCAGATTATGTTTGTACCGATACTGATAGAGCCATAATTGAATCTGTCAAAAAAATTCCATCTTCACCTGGAATGAGGAGCTTGTGCTCATAGATGATGTTCTGGTGTCGAGAAACTACATGGAATGTCTTTTTCAGTCATATGAATACTTGTCTGACGAGGTAACAGATGCAAGTCATAATACTCAATCAAACATTGCCAACTTCAATGCTCTTTCTCTCTAATGGCGAAATGTATACAGGTCATAGATGCTTATATTAAACTGCTGAAGGCCCAGGAGGGTTTGAAAAAGAGGCCAGTAGGTACAGTCTATCTTGAAAATGCGTGCTTAGTTGCAATCATGAAGTGGGATGGAGAAAAGGATGAGACCATTGAAGCCAATTACCCTAACAGTGGCACTTTACAGCGTCCTGGTTTAGTTCAAAGGGTGCTAGTTTACTTGAAGTATGACATGGTAGCAATTTTTTTAAATGATCTATTGGTCTTTCATTATCAATTTTTTATGCCTGGTAAAATGTTTATTGTTTGATTTGATAGGTGTTCCTTCCAATAAATGTTACAAATACACATTGGTACCTTGCTGTTATAAACGTCGTCAAACGTGAGGTTCAGGTGCTAGACTATTTGGGCGAGATGTTCAGACGTGTTGACCTGTATAAAATTATGGGTATTTTCTAACACAGCTATTTGTACATATTTTATATTTTAGAAATGTTGATTGATTCGTTCTTCTATGAACAAATAGCGAGGTGGATTGCAGAAATAGATAGATTTCATATTGGAGGAGACATGCCCGAAAGAGCACAAATGGCTAGATGTTGAGATAGATACCTGGTCGGTTAGGGAGATTTTTCACGGCAAATTATTACAAACAGATGGGTACGTCAGAAATAATGACATGTCATATAAGTTGAATTTTATGTGTCTTTGTCTTTTTATCTAATGTGAGCTTGAACCTCTATTAATGTTGTACGTAGGTTTTCATGCGGTTTATTCTTAATAAACTTTATGAAGTATTGGACTGGGAACAATTTGTCAGACGAGTTCAATCAGGTAAACTATGCGTCTTACCATAAGTTATGAGTGTGCACTAGCTGTGGGGTTTTAATTATTAATTAATTAGGTTCATACTATCGTACAAAATGATATGAAAGAATTTAGATTGAAGCTTGCGGCGATCTTGCTACCGTCAGAATTAAACAAACGAAAGGGTGCTCTATATCTTGACAGGGATGAAAATATTGGAAGTCCAAGTGACTATGCCATAATAGAGAATCCAAAGATGGCTGATCAAGTGTCCACGAAGAAGAGAAAACATTATGAGGAGGCCGAATGCTTAGTGGTTCAAACGGGCACCCCTCAACACATACAAACTCAGAATAAATCTCCATAAGTCCATGCCAACCAATACCCTGATGAGTTTTGGGCATTTGATGCCATGAAAGATATGCCAATAAACAAGGAAGAGATGACTAAGTTACTGTGTGATTACGTCATGGCAATTTAGGATGAAGCGACGTTGAAGTAAGCTACATGCTTATTTTAATTACTTTATTTACTAATAATAGTGTGCTATCTTATATGCCGAAAACCATCATCTGTGTCTAATGCTTTGCAGAAAGCCTTGGGTTAAAGGTTTTCATCCCTCCATGATTGCCCTAAGTGTCAAGGACCTACAAGAGTTGTTAATGAACAATCGAGACATCTTTTAGAATTGTTTCAACTTAGGTGTCCGTTTTTAGGCAGCTCGAGAGTACAATACAATGAAAAAATACAATAGTATTACAAAACATCACATGGACCTGAGATTCTGTGTAAGCACATTTTTAAAATTCTTATCGTACTATATTATATTGTCTTATTTGTTGTTCTCCTAATTGTATAAAGTAGGCCAAGTTATACTAATCATGACTCTCGATATTCTTCTCTTCCAGAAAATGTGTGCTTTAACAAAAATGCTAGAATATCGTAAAAATACACTAAGAAAGAAATGGCTGCTGCGATTGGTGTATGTGAGGATATGGAATACAGCTTAGCACAATGCAGATATGTAAGTCGTTTGCTCCTGTTTTTATTACTTGTTTCCTATATACTATTCTAAGCGCTATCATGTTTGCAGTTTCTTTTGCCATGGCTGCACGTTCGAAAGTATATGCTTTATGTTTTCGATCAGAAGGAGAAGATGCTTATCATGATTGATCCTAGACCTATTGAAGACTGATGTAAAGACACACCAACGCTGATGTATGCCAGGTACACTCTTGAATTTATCTTGCAGTACACGGACCCAGTGAATATACATATTCCTGGATGGAATGAGGATGTCTTTAAATGAAAATTCAGACGGGAAGAAAACATCGCAGAGGACATAGATGGGTAACTAACGTAGAGTCACTATAGCTTGCAATAATAATACCTACGATTTAACTATTTCTATATATCGCTGATCGTGAATCTTACCACAGACACTTAAGTGGATATCTTATTGTACGGTATATGTCTGCGTGGAATGGATCAAAAGGCACACATATTTATACAGTGAGTATAACACTTTGTTTTAAGTTTTTGTGGAAGATTTTTTAAGAGACGGGGCAGTATTACCCATGCGACAGACACTAATATTGACATATATAGTCGAGCCTATGTACAGGATGGTACGGAGATGCGACGAAACTTATTCGTGGATTTATTTGCCCACGAAAGAAATAGATATCGGAGATTTCTTTCTGCCGATATAAAACATTATTTTAGGCGCATCACGGAAAGGTCTATAAAGTAGAGTTTGTAAGCCTGTGACGCCGCGCTCTCTGTGACTGTTAATTTCACAAACTTTGCTTTTTGTTTAGTTGTTCCCTATCAACGCACGAGCACACTACTAGTTGATACTTAAATTTAATAAAATTTGACTCGTTGAGAAGCCAGATGTGTATCTATGTAGCGACCGAGGGAGTACTACTAGAACGTTGACCTATGGCATTTTGAGTTCTTTTTCTGTGGCGCGCATCCGGCATACGCCAAAACCGTGTATGATTCTGCACGAGATCAGCCCAAATTTAGTCGCAAAAAAAAAAGAGAGATCAGCCCAAATTATATCTGAGCCACCTATTGGGCCATGAAGTAGTGATAACCGGCACCTGCAGGTATGCAGGCCTTGACGGATCACCATTGTCACATGGGCCTCTATGTGTACGATGGGGCCTCTTTGTTATCCAGCGAGGCCTGATTGGAACAACCGGCCTGCTGTTATCCATACACCTTAGCACAGGCTTCTGGTGTCATGGCCGGAAATGCGACTGATACAGTGTCATGGCAACTGGTGTTAGTGTTACTGGGAAAACAATCTACTGGAAGCTCATTGATTTAAAAACGTACGTTTTTGAACTCACTGGTGTACGTTAGAGACCGTTGAAGTTTACTTCTCCTAACGTGTTACTGTCAATTGCATTAGCAACCTTTTGCTAACGGATTCCAAGTTTCCAACTCATGTACGGTCCAAAAATGGTACGTACTCGTGTGGTTCGAACTCGTCTCATCTCATGAAATGGATAGGATGCGACGCTGGAGCGCAGCATGACAAATCACCTGAAGAATATTAACGCAGGGAATTTCTTACTGTCAAGGGCATTCTAGCAAACACTGTATAGACTGACAAATCAATAGGAGTAGCAGCAGGGGTAAAGAATCTGAAGAATTTTGAATGTCCCGGTGGCCGCTCAACTTTGCCCTTTTCGCTTGGCTAATAAGTCATGATTGAAAGTCCTGTTGGCTGATTTGCTGTGAGAGAAAAATACTGTTCGTTGGCTGAAAAAGTACGGCTTATAAGCCAAGCGAATATGGCGCTTATCTACCATAACCCATGTTTTTTCAAAACTGAAATCATGAGGAAATTTATAGTTGCCCTTGCCCCTGTCCAGCCGGTCCCACATACAGCCTTAAAAACAGAACACCTGCCATGCTGCCCTTTTCCCTCCTTCAGAGCTTTGGATGGAAAGGGGAAATTCGCCAACCAGGCTCCAGTATGAGCCACCAGCAGCAGCTATCATTGAAGCAATCAGGCCAGGCGTTAAGCCAATCAGCCCTCCCAATCCCACCCTTAATCAGCTCATCCAGCTCCCAAATCTTCCATTATAACCCAAGATTCCCCTGCTCACTCTATTTCTCCTACTGCTAGTACTCTCCCCACAAGCAGCCCCCCTCCATGATAGTGCTCCCTCTGAGCTAAGGCTCTCTCTCACCTACCCACCCGCTCACACTCCCAGTCCCCGCCGGCGATGGCCGCAATGCCGGCGCCGCCCGTGGGCTTGGCCGTCCTGGTGCTCTTCGCCGCCGCCCTGCCGGCTCTTTATGCCGATGACCTCAACACCGACGCGCAGGCGCTGCAGGCGCTACGCTCGGCGGTCGGCCGCTCGGCGCTGCCGTCGTGGAACAGCACGACGCCCACGTGCCAGTGGCAGGGCGTCACCTGCGAGAGCGGCCGCGTCGTCGAGCTCCGCCTCCCCGGCGCCGGGCTCATGGGCAGCCTCCCCTCGGGCGTGCTGGGCAACCTGTCGGCGCTCCGCACGCTCTCCCTCCGGTACAACGCGCTCACGGGGCCCATCCCCGACGACGTCTCCCGCCTGTCCGAGCTCCGGGCGATCTACTTCCAGCACAACAGCTTCTCCGGCGAGGTCCCGGCGTCGCTGTTCGAGCTCAAGAACCTCGTGAGGCTGGACATCGCGGGGAACAAGTTCACCGGCGAGATCTCGCCGGACTTCAACAAGCTGATCCGCCTCGGGACGCTGTACCTCGACGGGAACAGCTTCACCGGCGAGATCCCCAAGCTGCAGCTGCCTGCATTGGAGCAGTTCAACGTGTCGTATAACCAGCTCAACGGGTCCATCCCCAGCACGCTCCGGAAGATGCCGAAAGACTCCTTCTTGGGCAACACGGGCCTCTGCGGGGGTCCACTCGGCCTGTGCCCCGGCGAGTCCGCGCCCACGCCGGCCGGATCGCCGGAGTCGCAGCCGGGAGCGGGCGTCCCCGCCGACGTCGGTGGCGGCAAGAAGAAGAAGCTCTCCGGCGGCGCCATCGCTGGCATTGCCATCGGCTCCGTGTTCGGCGTGCTGCTCTTGCTCGCCCTGCTTTTCTTCCTCTACCGCAAGAGGTCCAGCGCGCCCCGGTCGGCGGCGGCAGTGGAGAAGGGGCGGGAACTCGGCATGGAGCCTATGGATGTCGAGCCGAAGGGACAGAACGGCTCAGCAGCTGGCGCAGGCGGCCACAACGGCGCTGCGGCGGCCGTGGCAGTTCCGAACGCCGCGGCCGCTGCGGCTACTGCGGCGGCAGCGAAGACCGGCGGGTCGACCGGGTCCAAGAAGCTCATCTTCTTCGGCCCCATGGCGGCAGCCCCGCCGTTCGACCTGGAGGACCTGCTGCGCGCGTCTGCGGAGGTGCTGGGCAAGGGCGCGTTCGGGACGGCGTACAAGGCGGTGATGGAGAACGGGTCCGCCGTGGCGGTGAAGCGCCTCAAGGACGTGGACCTCCCGGAGCCGGAGTTCCGGGAGCGCATCGCGGCCATCGGCGCCGTGCAGCACGAGCTGGTGGTGCCCCTCCGCGCCTACTACTTCAGCAAGGACGAGAAGCTCCTCGTCTACGACTACATGTCCATGGGCAGCCTCTCCGCCCTGCTGCACGGTAAAAAACTTCCCCCCTTCCACCATTTTTACCGTTTCTTCCTGACGAGTTCGTTACCCCCGTACTGTCGGTGGGCGGGTTGGGTGAGGACGATCATTTCTCCCGACACAGCCTGGCAATATTCTGGGACAGGTAAAGAAAGAGGGGGGAAAAATAAAAAGGCTCCACGAGCTCGTGCTAAGCTCGTGGTGCTCGGCACGAACCAGCACGGTTTCCGAAAGCCAAAGCCGACGGCAGCCGGCGTCGCCGAGCAGAGGCGCGCGCGAGATGGTTACGGATTTGCTAGGTGCCGCGTCCCTTTCGCCGGATCCATCCCGTTTATAATTTGGCCCCGGCGTTTGGTCTGGTCCGCATCCGTGGCGGCCCTCAATCAATTCGCTGGAACCTACTGTCTGCCTGCCCCAAGCGGCCTTGCCCCTGGCAACCGAGCCCGCCGCCCCGGGGTGCTGCTGCTTCTTTTCCGCCATGCCAGCCATGGCGCGGCGTAGTTGCTGCGTCGCTGCGAACGAACCAACTGCTTGCGAGCAATTGGTTATAGCGGCATTGGCAGGTGGTAGCCACAAACTGAGCTGGCTCAGAGCTGCCTTGGATCTACTAGTCTAGTTTAACGCCAGACGTGACAACCATGACTGGTCCCATTCGAGCTCCCTGGTTTGCATGCATGGTCCTTGGAACATGCCCTGTCCTGTTCGCTTCGCTGAAAAGACAGGTTGAAAAATACGGTTTTGGTGTGAGAAAAAAAAATGCTATACCATGATCTCTGTACCTGTACTGGGGTAGTAGTATATGCAGAGGAGCTTTGAATCAGTAGTAGTCGTAGATTCGTGGCGGCAGTAAAGTTCCAGGGCAAGTTGCGCATGCATGTGAGCCGGTGTCCCGAGTTGCAGGCCGGGCCGGGTAGTGTAGTGTAGTTTCGCTGATCCATGTGACATTAGTTGGCGCCACTGTTCCTCTTCTTCGGGATTCCTCTCTCTCTTCCCTTCTCGCGCCAATTATTAGCCTCGTCTAGCGTACGGATTTTAAAGAATCATTCAAAAAGCCCGGACAGCCGGCAAGATGGCACCGGGTACGTCCGGGTGCGTGAGACGTGTAACCGAAGCAATCGTGCTGTATCATCTGTACTACGCGCGGCAGTAATTGGCATCGGCCGTGAATCCAGCAGCTGACATTCCTGTACTCCTCCTTCCTTGTGACGCAAACCATGTAGGGGTATTGTAATGACGTGGTGCGTGCGGATCTCGTGGTCATGTTATGTTTCTCCTCTGGTGTGGTGTGGTGACGCATCGCAATTCGCAGGTAACCGTGCCTCCGGCCGGACGCCGCTGGACTGGGAGACGCGGTCGGCGATCGCGCTGGCGGCGGCGCGCGGCGTGGCGCACATCCACTCGACGGGGCCCACGGCGTCGCACGGCAACATCAAGTCCTCCAACGTCCTGCTCACCAAGAACTACGAGGCGCGCGTGTCGGACCACGGCCTGCCCACGCTCGTCGGCCCTTCCTTCTCGCCCACCCGGGTGTCCGGCTACCGCGCCCCGGAGGTCACCGACATCCGCCGCGTCTCGCAGAAGGCCGACGTCTACAGCTTCGGCGTCCTCCTGCTGGAGCTGCTCACGGGGAAGGCGCCCACGCACGCCGTCGTCAACGAGGAAGGCCTCGACCTGCCGCGCTGGGTGCAGTCCGTCGTGCGGGAGGAGTGGACGGCCGAGGTGTTCGACCAGGAGCTCCTCAGGTACCAGAACGTGGAGGAGGAGATGGTGCAGCTCCTCCAGCTCGCCATCGACTGCTCCGCGCAGCACCCCGACAGGAGGCCCGCCATGTCCGAGGTGGCCACGCGGATCGACGACATCCGCCGTTCCAGCCTCGGCGGCAGCGACCGGCAGGCCGCCGACAGCGCCGAAGGCGACGAGCCATCTCTATAACCGCCATAGCAGCAGCTGCTCCTCCCCTGATTTCCACCATACGTACTTGTCAGCCTCAGTGAATGAAAATTGCTTAGTTCTTTTCTTTTGCATGGATCGGTATTGCTCTTGGCTCTTGCTCCCCTGGCTACTTTTTAATTGATTCGTCAGCAACTTGTGCATGTACGTTTTTCTCTTTTTTTTCTTTTTCTTTTCTTCTTCTTCTTCTTTATCTTTTTTTGGGCCTCTCTCTCACGGGCTTTGATTCTATTCTATAGCACATGCCCCTGTACTCTTTTATTCTTGGAAAGCAACATTTGATGATGCCTTGCCTGTATCTGTATCTGTATCTAAGACCGACATCACTACCAGCTGCACCAGTATGTGTATTGTTTGCTATATTAAAAAATACGCACGAAATGAAATGAAATGATTCATCTATGGACCATGGTAGCTCGGCTTTCGTTGCCAAGCCTTGCTTCACATCAACCTCTCTTATCGTGGTTGTTAGGGCGAGGTAATGGTTGTTGGCTTGGCACATTCTCTTGCGTAATTAACCTACGGGGGTAGCGCCTTTTCTGGTTGAGTTGAGAAGATTGCTGCCTGTGCCGCTGTGCGGCCTGCCGATGAAAGCTCTGCTAATGGCGTCACGTTCGTAGCTTGTGAAATCTGGTTGGTCCTATTTAGTAGGTCAGCAAGAAGGAGGCGTGCGTGATGTGTTTATCTACGAGTGTTGTTGAAGTAAAATGACAGAAAGAGACCTGTGATTGTGTGGAGTTGTGTTCATCTGCAGTTACCTGTGAAAATGACAGAATGTCGCATATGGTTGGTGCGTGCCTTGTTCAGTGCATTGCTAACTGCAACGGCATGGGGATCATTCAAAAATATAGAAAGATTAGGATGCCATCACTAATGTTATATACAGATATATAATAGTATATCAGGTAGGTACGTAGCAGTGATTTTGTTCGCTACTCTACCGTAGTCAGCAGCATTCGGCAGATCCATTGTACAGTAAGTAACCTTATTCTGAAACTGCTACTGCATTATGGACAGTGCAAACTGACAATCTGAATCGTTTGATAAGTGTGCATCGAGATGATTGACGTGGTATCATTGGGACATTCATGTTTGTGGAAGAACCATTTGGCCAAATTGGCAGAGCTTTGGTCTTTGGTTTATGTAAGATTAATTGAGCATGTACTATGAGAACCTAACATCAAAGAAACAGGATTTTTTTTGAGAAAAATATTAGCAGCCATGACTAAGGGAACACAGTTGGCACCATTTAATGGTACAAAATTGATGGAAATGCATACCGCTTTTTATCTGTAAACCAACAATAGAAAGCAGAGCTAATTCAATGATAAGATGAGCATCTCCCAACCAACAGAAAAAAGAAAGAAAGAGAAAAGAACACCATCCATTCCTAGTTCCGATACCGATTATACATAGGTTAGGGTTGCTGTTGTGAAGTTTCTACTTCAGATTTTTCTTTCCCCCGCATTTTTCCAGTCGCGTCTTAGGCCCCGTTTAGTTCCAAAAATTTTTGGCTTTTGAGCTACTATTGTAGCATTTCCATTTGTATTTGATAAAAATTGTCTAATTATGGACTATTTAGGCTTAAAAGATTCGTCTCACGGTTTCTCGGCTAACTGTATAATTAGTTTTTTTTTCGTCTACATTTAGTACTCCATACATGTGCCGTAAGATTCGATGTGACGAAAAATCTTGAAAAATTTTGGATTTTGGGTTGCATCTAAACGGCGCCTTAGCCGACGCCTCGAGTGAATGAACTGGACCAGTGTGCTGTCCTATGTCAAACCAGCTGGCGTACTCGATGCTGGCATCAATTCGCTTTGCCTCGTCGACACTTGCAATCAATAAAAAAATGCTAATGGCAGTTAAGCAGCATTTAGTACTGCCAACACCTCCATAATGGAGTTGCACGGCCAAAGCAGTTGGCAAATGTTTCACTCGTCGCCTGAAAAATTTTACCAGACGCAAAATTTTTGTTGGTGTGATTTCCTGGAACAGCCCGAGACCAGCAAGAAGAACTTGCTGGCTGGCTGGAGCTGGAGCGGACAGTGCGCGCTGCTCACTAGCTCAGGCAGGCTGCCCTGTCGGCTGGCCAGTGTTGCGGCATGAGTGCATGACCCAGGCTTACAGCCTCAAAGCTCTGCCTTTTCGCCGTAGCCCACCACCAACTGGATGCTCATGGTCATGACTCGTCAGATCCCCCCTGCCCTGGAATTAGAGTAGTTAATTGGAATCTCAACTTCTTGTCCCATTGCTGCTATTCGCTTCTCAACGTGTTAAGTTTAACTAAGTCTCCTCCATGATTGTAGTGCTAATAAATTACATGCTGTATTTTGTGTGGAGGACCCACCTAGAGAATAGTAGTAGTGGCACTACTTCCTCTTTCTGATTTTTTTTCGCTCTACTAGTATTTACAAGGGAAATTTTGCTTTAGGACATCGCTAAGAAACCTAATATGCTGATGGACACCGCCAAGAGCGAAATTTGTCCAGTACCATTACAAAATCGCATCCATTTGCTTAAACACACCGCACCGAATATTTTATTTATTTATCAGATTTGCGGAGAGAGAAGATGGGGAAAATGACTCTTCTGCCCTCGTCTTCAACCTTAGGCTGGTCACTGATTTTTTTTTGCGTAACACGCCTCATGTTCAATGACGGCGCCTCCATCTCACCCGCGAGTTCATCGCGTTCCTAGAATTCTGTCTCCACCGGAAGGTTCATCTCAATCCTCTCTCGTCGTCTTCATTTGTCAAATCCACCTGTCGGCCTCCGTTCGATGGCTAGGACACCAAATCCACTGTCAACTGGCGCTCGATGGTTAGGCGGCCTAATGCAACTCGCCAGGTAGTCCTACGGCGGCGTTTTGTTCGCTCACTACCGTTCGTCAGGCTTTGTCGCTCCACTTAACCTTATTCTGACACCAACTGACTTATGGACCGTTCCGCCGCTTGATTGCCCCAGCCCGCCATGCCTTGGCATCCTTCTCCTTCCTTCCCCCCGTAGCGCTTTCCTTCTCCGCGAATCACGTTTCGTTCCCCATCTCCAAACGTTGCCACCGCACCGCTCGCTTCCAAAATTCGTGGCGAGGACTCCATGGGCCAGCATCGGCGTCCTCTCCTGCTCTCCGCCTTTCCTCATCCCCCCAGTTAAGCCACTGTCTCTCCCTTCCACACCATCCTGTTGCCATCCCAAAGCCGCGTCTGGCGCCAAGCACTCTCCGCAGTGCTCCACCCTCGGGGCTGGCGGCCGCAGTGCTCTCTCCTCGCCGGGGCCCTCCATTTCACCAGCCCACTTTCCATGCTGCCAAAACCCCGCCGCCATCATCCTACCAAGGAGCTCGCGTGGCCCCACAAGCCGTCGTCGCGCAACCTAGCGCCGCCACTCCGCCTTGCCTCGCCGCGCCACCAATTTGGAGAGAGCCAGCTGGCCCCCTCCCCTACGCGCGCAGTGACCAGAGAGGCTCCTCCATGGCTTCCATGGCCATGGAGTGAGGAGGAAGGACCTATTCACGGCTCATGTGAGGATCAAATACGATTTATGATGAAGGAAGGCAAGCAGTGTTTTGGGCAAAAATTAGTGAATAGTTTGGAGGTTGAAGAAGAGGGCGAAGAGTCATTTTCCTCACCTTCTCTCCGCAAATCGATAAATGAATAAAATATTTGGTGCGGTGTGTTTGAGCAAATGAACGTGATTTTGTAATGGTACTGGACAAATTTTCGCTCTTGGCGGTGTTCATCAGCATATTAGGTTTTTTAGCGATGTCCTACAGCAAAATTTCCCTATATACAAAGGAAGGGCGGGCTTAGTGCAAGCCGTAGAGTCTTACCGCCTGTGACCGGAAGGTCCCGGGTTCGAGTCGCGGTCTCTTCGCATTGCATAGGCGAGAGTAAGGCTGTTCGATCGACGACCTCTTTTGGTGCATTGCATAGCGTGATAGTAAGGCTCTCTTTGCGACACCGACATATTAGGTTTTTTAGCGATGTCCTACACTATAGCGGGGCGGGCCAAGAGTTCTCCGCTCTACTGTATGCCTTTCTTCGTGTTACAAAGAGCTACTGTATGTTTTGTGTTCGAAGGAGTACCGTCTTCATTTCTGTGTCGTTTGCAAGAAGGTCATAACTGTCTGCTCTGAGATTGGAGCGCACACTGGACCTGTGTTTGCTGGCCGTCCGGAACTGCTCACCTAATGTTGACCTTCACCTCTGATAATGGCATTGGGTGAGGGAAAAAGGTCCCATTATTTGCTTTCCTTGCTGCTGTGTACCAACACACTGAATTCCTCTTGCTGCCTTCATTCCATGGCAGTTGGCTGCTTGGCTCTGTTACTTTGCTGCTAGACTATCACTAGGCAGGAGTGGCCTGGACATGATCTTTGTGCACCAGGTTCGAGTGAGCTGTGAAACTCTTGTTCGCTTCCAATGATGGGCCGGGCGTAGTAGAGTATGCGATCGGTAAGCTAGGATTTCGATTAGATATATTGCTACAGGTCAAGGAGTAGGGTGGAAGTGATCTGGCTAGCATAAGTATTTTATTCTTCACTTAATAATGCTTGCAAATTGCAGCTAGTCGTTGGATTGGGTTCTATTTTTCTTTCGCATGGATGTTTGCATTGGAACAGGAGGAGCGTGATTTCGGACGCATCATACTTTATGATGGGGAATTGGTATAGAAGAAAAACCTGGAAAATATGCATGTGAAGACGAGTTGACTGTTGACATCAAACCGTTGCATGCCTGCTTGCGGTGGGCTATCCTATCCAGCTTGTGGAACATGGAGGTTCTTAATTCGTCATCACTGTCTAGTGTTGGCAACGTTACATTACATGACTCGTGAAAATTGACACTTGCTTGAGAGAGGTTCAGACTGCATTTCGGACATAAAAAAAAAAATTCTCTAGTGCAAACTGCAAACTGACCCCTCCCAAGTACCGAGTCCCAAACAGGCTCTGTAAATGATGATAAAAACAGGGCCCTGTCT